CTCCATCTTTCCGTTTTGTGCTTGTGATCCTGAATGACTTGGCGTCTTTGTCCGCACAATTCATCCCATAATTTATTACATGGTTTCTGTTAATTCTTGTCACTTCTTTTAGTTCGCTTCTCCTTTCTTTATCAATCTTGGACTAGTTTTGATTAGTTGAAACTCATTCGATAAAAATTTGCTTTCCTTCTGTAGGCATTACCGAATTACTCGCCCACAGTTGAGACTAACTACAGTTTAGCTATTGATTTACCTTCTGTGTGTATGCCTTTTGAATTGTTCACCTTTGTTGTCTCTATTCTATCCACTGGTACAGATGTACGAACAGGAAGCGGTCAATGGTGATTGCTGTGGTCTTTACGCTGTGAGCACCTCCTGGTTCAACACTTGGAACGAATTTGTTCGCGGTGATACTTTCAGTGAGTTGGAGCTAATAGTCCCACATGATTTTGCACTGCTGTTAACACTTGCAGTTGTTGAACTGTTTCTACGGTACTAGATGTTTGAGGTTATTGGATGAATAAATGTCAGCAAATATCCCGTCGAGTTTCTTTCTAAATAGTGGCGTCAAACGGTGCATCCACATGGCTACACTGCATTCAGCAGTATTCAAAAGCTTTGTGAGTGCACGCCGTTGTCTCCACAGAACCGCATTATTCCGGTACGAAAATAAAAACGAATAGTGCAAAATTGAAACGTTAATTTCAGAGTTGTCGAGGTTTTTGAAATTAGTACGAATGCTTGGATTTCTCGGGAGATTTCGATCGAGTTATCTGTCACTCGTGTGCAGTTCTATCAACAACCCTCAGCCTGCTTTAAGATGTGGGCCGTGCCAGGATTCATGGTTGAACTGTTCCAACACTGAGTTGCACTATTAAGTGTAGCGCGTTGTAGTTATTGTACTCTTTATCATTGTCATTCTTTACATGCAACTTCGTCATATTTCTTCATCTTTTCATCAATTCTTGTATGAATTTCATTAGCAAACTTCCTTTATCCTGTCAACTTGTTTTTACCTCATAGGCTGGGCTGCGCTGCTAAGTTTCGGTGCGTGTAATTAAGTCATCAGTTCAGTTTTTCTACCTCTTATTCCATGAGGTGTTGTGTATTCTTCCAAGTGTTAAATATCGTTTGATAGCATAACAAACAGCAAGTCAGACACAGATAAGCAGGTAGAACGCCCGATATCTTGAAAGCAAACAGCTGCAACTATCATAGAATGAATCAAATTAAACGCTGGTGGCTTCTGTGAGATCTTCAAAACCAGCTTTCCTGATGTGATTTTTCCTTTCTCGGCTCGATTAATGTGTATGCGGCTAGGATAGAAAGTTTGAGCCTAGCTTGCATTTCAGTTGCATGTTCGTATGTGTTATTTGAAATGAGCACTGTCGCGTGACTTCATTTCAAAACATACGGTGAATACTATTTTCTCCAAATCTTACTGATCTCTTCTTCAAGTTGCATTTTATCCTGTGAATTTTCCTGTTAATTATAGCTACTAACGAAAGCTTATTGTTGGATTTCAGTACTTTTCAAATGCACTATTACTAATGGAGTGGGATCCATTAACTGATGTCTTCTCATCGGGATCTTGTTATCTCTTCTGTATTGTTTTTCAGCTATACCCGGTCCTATAGATAACTCTGCGATTGTCGAATATAGACCATTAAGAAACCGATTTGGAGGCGCCTTATTCACTGCACATTCACAGTTCAACAAACCTGGAGTTCCCAATCATCCTCGCCTGAAAGCGGGTGTTGATCATCAGGAACTGTACGAAGGTTGTTGGAATCTGTTATTCGACATCTATGGTGGTGGTCCGGCCATATGTGTCCGTCCATCTGCACCACCCAATGCATCCCCCGATGGCCACAATGTCGAGGATGGATCTGATTATCCAGACCTAGACAATAAACGTGACTCACCCACTGACCGTTTGTCCAAGGTTGTTGAGCCAGACCGTTACTGTGCTCAGAATGATGTAAGTCACCCTCTGTTCAGACTTCACACAAGATGGTAACATGTAAATAGAACCCTCATAATATGGTCTTCTCAAAAGTATTGGTAACTCTATTGGATCAACCATACATTTCAAAGTGTGGCAGCTAATCAGCGTGTAACAATACGGTGATAGTGAACAATCAGTAGAATGTTCCCTGGTTTCTTTATCTTCAAAAATGTGACAAATCCAGTTTTCGTCACGCACAGAGAAAATAGGAAACATTTTTGCCGATAGTGATGGAAACAAACGAAAAGGCGAAACGATGAGATTTCGTGGTGTATTTTACTTTCTTCTGTTTTCATTCTCTTTTCCTGTTGACGTAACGTCCTTAGTGCTCACTTCACGCCAAACCTGATACAGAGCGCGTTCAGTCAGTTACTAATTTGTTTAATCATTTCACCATTCTATACGTATACGTCGCTTCACACCAACACTCTAAATAACGGTGATGATTGGATGGAGTGAGTACACCAAATCATAATCGGTGCCATAGGTAGCCGAGTGATACTGTTATGCAAACGAGGAAAATGAAAGGATATCTCCGAGCGGTGGTCACATCACGTCGGTTATGTCACATACCATCCACCAAATGGCCCTCGAACGGTAGCTCAAAATGGACTAAGGTGGGCGAGCGGAATAGTTTAATCCAAATTGTGAATGCACAGGTCTGATGCTTCGCTTGAATTAGGCGTTGTGTGTGGCGAACGAAGCGATCGATGGAGTATTAGTCATTTTTAACCCAAAGAAAAGTTGTTATCGAAAACAGCTCAACACAACGTCACATTGAGCACGACACCCAGTTATTTCAGTTTTTCGTCCCGATGCTCTTCAGTTAATAAATGATTTTCTTCAACTTAATGGGCATCTGAGACCCTGTTTATCTCCCTGATGAACGGTTATCATACAAACTAG